AAGTCTTCCGCTGTGTTATCTTGTACTTTGTATTGAAAGGTCGGTTCTTGTTCTGGTCTGCACGTTACAGTATGAAACAGTTTGGTATCGGAGCGGACCTCTCATACAGAGGACCCGCTCAATCAAGTAGCCAGCTTGCGATCTATTGATCACTCATTAGTAACGCAAGTAGGATTTAGTCAAATCTCTGAAAAATTTTTCTCGCAACAACTATCTGAAATTTTTGATATTCCCATTTTCGTTCTATCTGAAAATTTATGATATTAGTAGTTCGTTTTTACGTAACAAATATCTGAAAATTTCTGATAAATCGCATTTCATTTTGTTTGAAAATTCCCGATAGTAGCATTTCGTTTCTCTGATATTTCGTATACATAGCTGAAATTTCTGAAGTTAGTATTTTCGTTCTCTAGGCATATTGGGATAACGATAGAAGTGGTCATATTCTCGGAAACTGAAATTATTCTTTTCTGAAAATCGCATTTCCATTCTATCTCGCAATTTTTTTTTTGAAAACTGAATCTTGCGAAGCCTACCAATATTGCGTGAGGCATATGCGGAGGTTGCTATATTATCAGAAACTGGATTTCGTTCTTTTCTGAAAATCGCATCTTTACTCCATTTCGCAAATTTTTTTCAAGATCGCAGTTTGTAAAAGCCAAAACTTTGCGGCACCTAGCCTAGATCTCGTTCATAATACTCTTCTGACATATCCTACTCATCATAAATCGACAGATATATACAAAAAAAAAAAAAAGGAAGTCCTCTTTTATTTTTTTTTATTTTTATTTTATCTGTTGATTAGGACCGGAGGAAGTATTGTTGGGTTGGTTACCTCCTTCCGTTTTCCCTCCCACCCACCCCTTGCATGCATCCCGTTTCCGTACAGTGCCACGTCAGCAGTGCCACGTCACTGTGCCAAGTCACAGTGCCACGTCAGCAGGGCCATGTCACAGTGCCAGATCAGCAGTGCCACGTCAGCAGGGCCATGTCACAGTGCCAGATCAGCAGTGCCACGTCACAGTGCCAAGTCACAGTGCCACGTCAGCAGTGCCACGTCACAGTGCCAGATCAACAATGCCCCGTCAGCAGTGCCAGGTCACATTGCCACGTCAGTCATAGTGCCACGACAACAGTGCCACGTCAAACACAGTGCCACGTCAGCAGTGACGTCCGACACAGTGCCACGTCAGTAGTTCCATGTCAGTAGTGCCACGTCAGCAGTACCACGGCAGACACAGTGCCACGTCAGCAGTGCCCCATCAGCAGTGCCACGTCAGCAACATGACGGGCCTGCCAGGCCAACTGGCCAATGAGACCATTGCCGCCTACAAGCAGCGTTGCCTGGCTCAGATAGAGGCTGAGGAACAACGMCTGCTGGCAGTCGAGGCTGCCCGCGTACAGGCTGAAGAGGTAGCAGCAGCAGAGAAGCTGCGGCTACAGGCCGATGCAGACGCATATGCCCAGGCTCGCCGCAAGGAAGCCCAGGATCTGCTGCAGCGGCATGAAGCCAACAGCATCGACAGACTCAAGTACTTGCACCAACGGTCAGAGTTGGAGAGACAGTACCGGGACCTGACGCAACAGCATCAGGAGTTGGCGACGCTCCGCCACATTGTGCAGAGCCACGAGGATGCAACTCGGGCACTCAATGCCCGATTATTGGACCTCGAACAGGCTGTACCAGGACCAGCTGCTGGAGCTTCCAGCAGTGCACCCTCAAGCCGCCAACTGGAGGACCGCGTTGACCACGTAGTGGCAATGCTCGACGACATCAGCACCTTCGCTGCGCCAACCACCACCATCAGCAGTCAGCTGCATACATTGAAGACCGAGGTCCAGAAGCTGCAGTCGACGAACGCGGACGACAATCCGAAGATGTACAAGATGCCAACTTTCAACCTGGAGAGGTTCGACGACTACACGCAGCAGGATCCCGTCCTCTGGTGGGAAGCATTCACAACGCAACTCAAGATTCTGCCAGTAGCCAAGCATGCATACATCGGCGCCCTGTTTTTGAACTCAAAGGGCGGATGCCAGACCTGGTTGAGCCACCTGGCAACCTCCCACGGCGTCGACGTACCAGACTTGAAGGACGTAATCACATGGGAGGAACTGACACGGCTGTGGAAGAAGCGGTTCATCGTCGACGACGCGCCGGCACTCGCCATCAACCGTTTGTTCACCATGTCACAGGGCAACACAGCAACACGGGACTGGCTCACGGAGTGGCAGAAGATTGCGGTTGTGCCCAATCTGAATCTACCATTCGAGCATCTACGTCGTGAGTTCTACAACAGGTCATGTGCGGCATTGAGCCAGGCTCTTGGTGATCGCGAGCAGTACTCAACCTTTGCTGAGATTATTGACAAAGCGAGGGAGATCATCAAGACCAACAGGTCAGCTGCACACGAGAAATCAACATCATGGCAGCCGACCTATGTGGAGAAGGTACGAACTGGTCCGCGACAGCAGCACTTCGCTGCAGTCCAGCAGGACAGTGGAGATAACCCAGCAGCCACTCCAGCATCAAGTAACGGAGATCAGTTGGCCGCTGTCCAGCCGCGAAGCACCAACAAGTCCCGCAACAATGGGAAGGCGAAATCCRCATCGCAGGCCGGAAATGGACAGCCAGGACAATTTCCATGGGTCAAGTTTGGCTTGACCGAGGCGGAGTACAAGGTCCGCGGCCGCTACGGCAGCTGCTATTGGTGCAACAACACCAAGCACAAGACCTCCCTRTGCCARGATCARRGCAAGKAGGATGTGCGACCCCGCCTCAGCTCGGGAAACTGAGCTCCGCGGAAGGTGAGGCGACTCCACCTTCTACTCCGCCAGATTCGGCCGCCTTGCTAGCGGCCTCCTGCACATCTGGGGAGGATGCAAATGTCGCAAGTCCTAGGTATACTTA